ATTATAACCACAGTCATTGTTTTATGGCTTGCTGACAATTACTCTGCCTGGCTTTCTCTGTCACCTTATTAAGATAATATTATTAAAAACAAATATCTGACCTAATTATCTGTTTTCAAATAATTGTTTATTTCCTGTCTGTTTTCAACATTAGAAGCTTGACTTTTTCCAAATTCCAAAGTATCCAACTCTACTGGGCATACCTTTTTGTCTGATCTCCATTTGTGCTTTATGTGTCATGCCATCTTTCCACTTTTTTAAAATTACTTAAGAAACACATAAAAGTAAACTCTGATCTCCTCTGCTTTGTTCTCCAGGTGGATCGAATGTCCTTCCCRTGTGGCTGCTCCAGGGATGGCTGCAGCAACGTCGCAGGCCGCATTGAGTTCAACCCTTTACGCGTCAGAACCCATTACCTGCACACCATAATGAAGCTGGACGTGGAGAAGAGGAGGATGCAGATCCACGGGCCGGGGGACCACTTTGCTGAGTCTGACCCGTCATCCCCTTCCTCCACTTGCCCCACTTCCCCAACCCTTTCCTCAGGCATCGGCCTGGACTCTGAGCTGGAGGAGAGCGAGGTGCAGTCGGTTGAAGAGGTCCAGGACCTCATGGCAGAGCAGGACATTCTGGAGCGAGAGAACGAGGCAGCTGTGCTGCACCTGCAGAGTGCGGAGGAGCAGGAGAGGAGGGAGAGGGAGGAGGCAGAGGGGGAAGCAGTGCAGCAGGAGCTGAATGCTAGTGGGATCACAGAGCCGCCTCTCTGCCTTCTCCCCACTGCTTTGGGAGGGGGCCTACCTGAGCAGGAAGAGGTGCCAGATGTGAATCAGATCCTCCTGCAGGGCCCATTCCCTACAGGAACCACAGTGCTGTGCATCTCTGACAACCAGGAGGAGAGCCCCTCGGAGCTCCTCAAAGACTCCACGTCTCTGCTTTACTATCAGCTCAGCCCTATAGAACCTGGAGCCTTTGAGACGCTGCAGAGGGCAGAGGCACACGAACAAGACAAGCCCCCACAGAGCGCAGCAGGAACTGGGTTTGGAGAGAAGAAACCAGAAGCAGAGCAGCAGCTGAAGGATGACAGGCGGGCAAACGGCGCCGGCAGACAGAATGTGGGCGAATGTTTGACCGGCGCCATTGTGCACGCAGAGGAGTGTGCAGCTGTGGTGGAGGAGAGACCCCCCAGTCCTCAGCCAAACCTTCCCACAGAGCAAAGCCAAGAGACGTCCTGCTCCGAGAAACAAGTAGATCCACGGCCTCCTGAGGTTTAGCGTCAGCTTCTCTGCAGATGTTTTGCACAATAGCTTCATCTAAGATGAATAAATGTCAAATTCCATGTTTATTACAAGAGTGACTGCAGGTTGTAATCTCCTACAGCGAGTCTCACTGTGTGAATGAGTATTATAATACACAGAAAGCTCATGCACCCCCCCCCCCCCCCCACAGAAAGAAAATGAATGCTTTTATTAAAAGGAAACACGGTGGGTAATTCAGCTGAGGTGATGAATGCGGCCTTAATGGGGAAAACATAATAACACTTTTATGTAGGAGTCGATTAGGATTAACTTTATTTCCACCACAATAAAGAGAAACACAGCGAGTGAGTGCTGACCTAAGCCTTTTGTTTTGTTGAAGTATAAGGCYATCAGCACTGAACTGCCTGAGGCAGCGGCGGATTCAAACAGCTTGTGTTGCAGTCACAACCAAATGAAGGCCTCTGCTAGCATCCCCTGCTAAATACTGACTGAATAATCCTGGAAATACTTGTTTTTAATGTACTGTATATGCATTTGCATTGTGCAAGAGAGCTGCTTTTTTTTTTGACCTGTGTGCACATTGTGAGGTTCAGGCAGTGAGTGTTGTGGCTCTGCTGCAGTGAGACATGAAGGTAAAACCCATCACAGCAGCAGGTTAGCACTAGCCTTAGCTGTTACACTAACTCACCACGGACTGCTCGCACACTTTATCTAACACAGGAAGGCTCCTAGTTACAGTGCTGATGACAATATTTCTTATATCAGTGTGTCTTTTGTGGGTTAGATGTTTGTTTTAAAGTTAGGATGCTTGCAGTCTGTTTTCTTAATAAAAAAAGTTTCTTTCATTCTGCTACTTCAGAGAGCAGGAAGTGGTGTCACGTCAGGACGAACTGCCAGAATAGAGCTTCCTCATTGTTTTTTAAAAATAAATTGTGTAAAGAAGAGCTGATTCAGAATCAAGCCAAATTATGACGAATAACAAAATATTGAGCGCATCAAAAAGAAAAACCTACTAAACAACGCGCTGTTAGCTATTAATAGATGCGATTTTCAACAACCTGGTTTTGTGTGTGTGTTGATTGTGTTTGTGTATACACTTGTGTCTATGTCAGAAAGAAAGTTCTGTTTGAGTCAGTGTGCATGCATGTGTGTGTGTGTGCCGTGTGTTAGACTGTATTAGCAAAGATACACACTTTACACCTGAGAGGTGCTCCTGTCACAAATGTTACAGTTAAAAAAAGTTTATTTATCAGAAACCAGGAATAGTTACCTGAAAATGTTTCTCGCTAATCTAAATAATAAAAATTGTGTGTGTGTGTGTGTGTGTGTGTGYGCGCCTCTCCACACATCAGTGATAGAATGAGCCGTTTTGTGATGGAGTCTGTCATACATTTTCTGGTCTTTAAATGTGTCTTTTCTAAGCCGTGTTCGATGAATACTGATGTGTGTAAGCGAGCCGACAATTCTTACACAAAATCAATCCTTTGTTCAGTCGCCTGAAATTCCTGCCGCTGCTTTTAGTAACGGCTCGCCTGACACAGGATGTGCTGCTGTGTAGAAGTTGTCAGATGTATTTGTTTAACCTTTTTATTTCTGTTTAAAATTGTCTGAGTATAATCCAGTTTAAGAGCTACAACAAAGCAGTGGTTTCAAACCTAATTATAAACGATGCTGTCATCCATCAGAGTGTAACAAAGCCGCCTCCTGTACTTATTGTGAGGCTGCAGATTTATTGTGGCTCCTTGTGTTTGTGTGACTTGCCTTGTGATATAACACCATCTCTGGAGTGACRGTGATTACAGGCTGCGTGTTGTTCAGCTTTATGTCCTTGGCTTTTCTACTAATAGATTTTAGGTTTGGGACCACTGCTCCAAAATGAACTCTAGTACTTTTTTTGTGATGGTGTGTGTGTGTGTTTGTGTTTTTTTTTTCTGTGCGAAAGGATTGTGTGATTGTCGAGAGGACTGAAACGTTTCATCTGAAAAAGCTGTGAGAACTGCTCTCATGCTAACTGTTGCCTAAAATGGACAAAAAAGGGTTTTATACAAAAATAAAAACAATAAAAATACTCATTGCAAATACATGTTTGTTTTATGTTTTTAATTATATGGATATGTGTAAGACTCACAAGTTCAGCTGGGCAAAACAAATGGTCACACACTTTTCATTTAACTTTGATCATTCACTGTGGCATTGTTTGGATAATCTTCTGCAATGTCACCAGATTTATTTCCATCCAGTTTTGCATTAATTTTTCACCAAGATCTGTCATTGATGATGGTAGTCTGACCTTCTCCAGCTCATCCCAAAGGTTCTCACTGGACTCTGTGGAACCAGTCCCTGTGTGAAAATGATGTCTCATGCTCCCTGAACCACTCTCTCACAGTTCCAGCCCCATGAATCCTGGTATTATCATCTTGGAATATGGCCGTGGCATCAGTGAAGAAACAATCCATTGATGGAATAATAACCTGGTCATTCAGTATATTCAGGTCAGCTGACCTCATTCTTTGAGCACAAACTGTTGCTGAACCTGAACCTGACCAACTGCAGCAACCCCACATCATAGACCTCAGTTACATCCAGGTGGACACTTTGTTTTGATCAAGTAGTGTAGAAGTTGCCCCTCTGCTGGAATGATGTGATCAAATGGTCAAATGTTCAGGAACTAATATTTACATGATGCTGAGCAAATGACTCAGGCAGACTTTTATTTTTGAAATTATAGCGAGCTATTCTTGTCAACTTGTATACTCAAGGTAGCCTCAAACAAGCGTCTGACAGGCCTGCCTCCTATTTGTTCAGGTGCTGAGAGGCAGATTGTTTTTCTCTTTGTGTTCCTTCTCCTAAGACCCAATCAACACCAGCTCCCATGAGACAGGAAATACCTGATGCAAACATAGACGTACATTATAATACTAGAATAAGTGTCCCCGCCAAGCAAACAGGACCAATTCACAGAGATTGCCATGCCATATGGCACTTGTGATGGGGGAACTACGTGTCATATTTGCTGCTGCCTATCTTGGCCAGGTCTCTTGAAAAAGAGGTATTTAATCTCAATGGGACTTTATATTTTATAGGCTTTATATTAATATTTTTGGGCTTAGATTCTGCACTGGTGGTGTAAGGCTCACCTCACACCGCCATGATGCAGGAACTACAACTTGTTCTGGGCCCATCCTGTAGAGCAGTGGTTCCCAAACTTTTTTTCTTCTGACCCACAAAATATTCATGGCAAAAACTTGTGACCCCAAATATTACTGGTCTGAGTACACRAACTTTGTTAATAACCCTAAAAACACAGGCTTTTTGACAATCTAAACCGCTTGTACACAAATATAAATATGTATTTATACATTTTTGTGTATTTTTGTAACAGTTATAGGGAAAATGTTACATCACAATTATTTTATTACCCTTTAAATTGWTTTCTGGAGATTATCCAAGGTGCTTCATGACCCATAATTGGGTCCCAAGYCCAACTTTGGGAACCAAAGTGCAGTGGTTCCCAAACTTTTCAGCTTTTGACCCACAAAATAACAGTAGCAGAGACCTGAGCCTCCAACTATTTTTGGATGATAAACATTTGTATCAGGCCAACTAAACATGGGCATAGTAACAATATTTTTCTACTACATTTATCCATTTTAATTCACTAACCTCACTCCTTTGTAACAACGAAAACAAAAATTTAACTAATTCCAAAAACCTTTTCAGGACCCCACCTTGATGTTTTGACCCAACTTTGGGAAACACTGCTAGAGAACAGCTTCAACTTTCACTTTTGGAACGTACACTTTCATTCAAAGAGATGGACACTTTCTCATTCAAGCTTTTATGTTGTTTTTTTCCTACATTGTGGCATCATCCAGACTATGAAGGAACACATACTGTAAGGATCCATGTGAACGTGGAGGTATTGAACAAACTAAAGTTTTTGGATCATTTTGGATTGTTRAAGGTGGGCACCTTTTGCTTTTTCTACAACCGTGCTCACTTTCATCTCAAGCAGCGTCTTGAGATACCGTAATCACCTGGAATGGTTTTCTACCAGTCTTGATGGAGTTCCAAAGACTGCCGAGTACAGCTGTGGTCAGATCAAGGGCTGCCTGCTTTGAGTGGTCTAGAATCTGGGGCGTACTTTAGGTTTGTTTGGGACTTTTGGCTTTTCCAGATGGTTCCTTACAGTATGTGTTCCTTCACAGTCTGGATGACTTCAGTGCTGATTTGAAATGTAGGAAAACAAGGAAAAGAACAGCGACGTTGAATAGGAGGGCGTATCCAAACTTTTGACTGGTAGTGGATGTCGACATCCTTGATCCCAAACAGTGTTGAGCTTTGAGAATCAGAAACTGTACGTCCTGTCAGTTGTTGACATAAGGGTGGGTAGGGTTTCCTGTAAATGTGTGCATAATGAATTGGGGGTATTTACACTCATTCCACATTAAAAGCAGTTTAGATTTATTGTACAAATAAAAAAAATCAGGCTCCACATTGAGATTTCATGGGATTTCGATGCACTGTTTTTCCTCAGACTTATTCTCAACTGCTTTTGCTTCCCAGAAATGTATGTCAAAAACTTTTTATTAAATCCTGACCAAGAGAAAATCAGCTATGTTTGAACCTTGACTAATTCTCAGTGTGATAATTGTTGTAATCATGCTGAAATACTGTTATTACCACCACCACCCCCCAGTAGTTTGGTGTTTTTCCAAATACTGTATTTGTAAGATTATCTGAAAGTATCATCACTAGCACCCATGTCCCTGTGCAGCCTAACATGTATCATACGTGTTTATTTATGTTGTTTAGGATTTGTTTCTTTCTCATCTTAAACCAGCCCGTTGTTCAAGAAGAGCAGAATTTTCACCTGGTTTTGTTTATTTGACTTTTTACAGAAACTGGTTTCGATTGTAAGTCTGACTCTGAATTATGTGTTTGTTTTCAGAGCCATGTTATGCAAGGGGATTCAGTCATACTTTTACAAAGAAGTTGTTTGTTCTGATTTCTCCTCCCTACCCAGGCTGTTTTGAGTCTTGGGGTAAATAGATTATGTTTTGTTCTGCGGCACAACCTTTGACCACTAGAGGGCAGCATAAAACCAGGGTGTCTTTCACTGCCACTCTGAGGACATGTGAGCCTCTACCATAGATTTACTGTAAGAGACATTTATAAGCCATAAGACAATATGTTTTTTTATAGAACTCAATGGACTTTACATGTTGCCCATCCCACTCAGTGACATTTTGTACAACTACAGCAACAGGTTTCGGGTCAGATATGGACTTAGATGGTTCAGACATTAGGTGTCCTTTGGTGGCCTCAGAAATAGTGGTCAGTACAGAGCCGATATTCCACCTTTCTGTCTTTATATGAATTATTTATTTGTTTAGACTAAAATGACAAATAAGATCTTATTTGTCATTTGTTCTTCATTTAGTGAAGTATAGCCTGTCCATTTTATTCAATTTAGAGTAGCGATACTTCATAGTAATACTGTATTACTCAAGTAAAAGTAAAAAGCAATAACACCACTTCTAAAATTAAAATTTTCCCCTAAAAGTTACTGAATATGTAAGTAAATAAAAAAAATTAGGTGCTATGAGATCCAAGGCACTTAGACAACAAAAACAGTGATGAATTTGACTCTTGTGGATTTCATTTAGAACTGGCTTTGTTCTTTGTCATTATTGTGCAATAAAACTTCACACACACACACACACACACACACACACACACACACACACACACAC